GGGGGGGGGGGGGGGCTGGAAACGCCTGAGCATATTATAGCCCTTGAAAGTGCCCTCTTTCAGAAAGTTCATGCGAAGCCCAGGTATGGCACTGGTGGCCCGGCGGAAACATGCTCACTTCAACTTCTTCCAACATGCCAGAGTCAGTACGTTTCCATGCTTTCTCATGCAAACGCCCATCCACTTCCTTGCCGGGACCCAGGCTACCAACTCGAGCTTTTCCTGGCGCAAGGTTTCAGTGTCGGGGAAGGCTTTGCGACGAAGCAGGAGCTAGCGAAGGGGAGACGCTAAGGAATGGCGCACCCCAGCCCCGGTTCCGCTAGAAGTATGCTCTCTGCTGCAGTGCAGCAGGAGGAGCTGGAAGCTTTCGTCCAGCAGAAGATTTCCGAAAAGTCCTTCCTGCTCGAGGGCCATGCAGAGAGATTCCTGCATCTCGGTCACGACCACAGCTATGCAACAATCCGGCTTGGATTGCCGCCACGTCCCAGGTATCAGCTTCCACCGCGTGGTGAATCCTTACAGCTAGGCCGTGTGTTCCAGGCACAGCCTTGCAGCGAATAAGCGGGTCTCCAGCACACCTGCTGTCTGTACCAGGCAATGGAGGCGGAGAAGAACCGTGCCGTGTCGAAAAACAAAGGTTCAAGGATCGCTGTCTTAAGATTGCCGAAGATTTACGTCTGACTCCAGCAGGTGCATCAGAATCATTCCGGTTCAACAGATTTGGGTGTTTGAGCCCCAAAGGCACTTGAACAACAAAATGGATACCTTGCAAGCAGAACCTGAATTGAGCAGCGTGTTCTTTGCCATGTCGACGCTTTGCAACGGCGTCCTGTATTCATGTGCTTGCGTGGCCATGGTGAGCGTCGTCCCGCGTAGGGTTTTGCAGGGTAAGATCCGCGTAGGCGTCCGCGCCACCGAGCTTGCAGTCGGGACTTCCCAAACCCTGCGAAACCGTGAACCGAAATATCCGAGCTTCCAGGTCCTCCCAAGTAGGGACTTCGTGAATAATTATTGTTTTGAAAGATCCAAGCACCTTGCCTGCTGTGTGGGAGAGTGAGAGTCGAAACATAGCACCGGAACATCCGAGCTTGCAGCAAGTACCGGTTGCGTAAACACGGAACCTTGTCTTTGCGCAGGCCAATTAGCCACGAATCCCGGTCGCCAAATCCAGCCAAATTTGTCAGACTCACAGTGCCACGTCGCGTAGGCAAAGCATACGGAGCGCGAAGCTGTAGTAGTGCTTCTGCCTCCTAGCCCTTCCTTCTTGTAGCCGGCTCTTTAGCAGCGTCGAGCAACCTGTGCAAAATGTTCGTTGTCCAAAACCTCCAGCAATCATAACAAACAGCACGGACTTCCTAGCCGTTTAGCTCTGTTAGACTGCATGATGATCGCTTCGTCAAGCCATCATAACCAACAGTATGAAGGTAAAAGCTTTTCCAAAATCCAGTAGTAATGCAGCTTGTCAAGGCAGGGCCGACTCCAGATGCTGGAGGAATGCCCTTTGCATAGCGCGTAGGCTGCGTAGGCGCGCTTCCTCCATGATGCACTTGCGTAGTCCTGCCCCATCTAAATCAATGATCCAGCGGAGTCCCGCGTAGTCACCACTGATATAAGAACCACCAAAAAAAGCACCAAAATTCAACTAAGCCGGAGACTCTGCTATCTGAGGCCTGGGCATCACAGACTACAGCCTCTCCCAGCCTTCTCTCGAGCAGGAGCTTTGTAGGGTAGGAGGGGGCAAGCCAGTGTGTTGCTGGTGATACAGCCACGCGAAGAGCGGATGAGGGCGGCCTAAAACAGTTCATGTCAAAAATGCCTTGGGCTTGATGCTGTCCTTTGATCCGTTTTGACCACTTGACTCTGGAGGTTTTCCTCCGGTTCGCGAAGGAGCAGTTTGATGCACAGAAAGCTGAGGGGACGGAGTAGCCCCCAGTAGGCTCTTGTGGCAAAGCCAGGGGCCTTTGGTTCCCGTTTTCTCAGCAAACCTCTTGCGACTTGTGTACAGAGGCCTCGGCAGATGGTGATTTTTTCGGGCTATTCCTCCCGAACTGTGTGACACAGCGGCAGACAACACACAAAACACCTGCCTCGTATGTGTAAGCGACGGCTGATTCCAAGACCGACTTCCTGGAGTTGTCTCTGCCAGCCAAGCAAGTCGCAACTGTAAAGGCGGAGGTCATGAGGACCTCCTTTGTAGAGAGTCTTTCCAGACAGACTGCTGCAAGGCACCACATCTAGGTCTAGTTTTTCTTCCTGCTCTCAGCCTGTGCGCACCGAGGAATTTCGGAATGTGCGCAGGTTGAGCCTGCCCTAGCGTTCGCTTCGCACAGTCCATATGCCCACGCTGGAGGCGTCTGCACATCTGATCACCCGCCGCCTGTGCTGCTTCTAGCCACGTCTTCCGACCAGAATCTGCCATCGAAAATCGGAAGCATTACTGATAGGTTTTCTCGAACTTCGATGTTGAGTGATCGCCACAAGCTGACTGGGGTGCATGGTGCACTGGACATCCGCGAACGTCAACGATGGCAAAGCTGTTGGGACTGCCACGATATCAAATTGGTGATGCAGCCACAGGCATTCCCTGAGCTTCTCTGTCGGTTTGTTGTCTTGTGGCAAGCTTGTTGAACAAGGCTTGCCCAATCCCCCTATCAGCAGGGCGCTGGCTCGAAGAAAATAAAATCGGCCGTGCTTTGTGGCTCGGTCCGTGTCAGGGCTCGGAGAGACTCCAATGTTGCTTGCATCTCACGACGCGCCCAGGCGATGCTGCACTCCTGGATGCTTTGAAGGCGGCCTCGTGGATCCTTCTCAGTTGTGCATCCACCGCCCCTGTATATAATATACATAAGCAAAAGTGTGTGTGTGTGTACATATATATATATACACACATACAAAGGCAGCACAAACTAGCCACCGGCTGCGTGCACATCGCGCAGCAGAGCGGGTGCATGCATGGCAGGGCTTCATCGCCAGAGACTGACGTCAGCGATTCTCCCGCAGCTTCCACGACCATGAATAAGCATGTATTTTCACTTATTCATTCATACATACATATATATATTATATATATATATATGTATATCTGTCTGTCTCTTTGTCTATCTATGTACCCATCTATCTATCTGTTTATCTTATCTTACTTAGTCTTGTTCTTAATCTTAATCTAACCCAATCCAATCCGTCCATCCGTCACTCCATCGTCGTTCCATCCATCTATGTGCCCTTCCTATGTAAATGTCTTTAGTTTTGTTTGTTTCGTGTCTTGTCTTTCAATTGCTGTCGTTATTTTGTCTTCTTCCACTGTCTTGTCTTATCCGGAATATCTTACCGTATCCTAGCTATGAATCTGTCCACCTATCTGCCTGCCTGCCTGCCTACCTACCTACCAGATCTATCTGTCTGTCTATCTATCTTTCTTTCTTTCGATGTAGCGTGTTGGCATGTGTGTGTTAAATAATTATGTGCATGTGTAAATTGGTTCTGCACGTCGATCCCTTAGGCCTCTGTCATTTGTCCCATGAGCCAACCAAAAGTCCGAAGCAGGAAACCAGGCTTGAAAGTGCAACTTAGCGGCTGGAAGCACTGCAGCGCAAGGCCGTCAACCAGGCTGTGAGTATGAACCACATGCCGAGTCCAATGATGCCTACGGTGTCAAGCCCCAAGTTTGCGGGGCTACAGCTGCCGGGACTGCGTCCGCTTGCAACCCATTGCCGCATTGAATTCTGGCGAGGCCGCAGGCAAACTCACCGCCCAAGCCGCAGTTGCGCTTCTGTCCGAACTGCGGAGCCAAGGCGGTGTCAGGGCAGCACGTGGGTCAAGTTCGGACTCTGTACGGTGGTCCATAGGACTACAGTGACTACAGCATTCGGCATTAAGCCGGCCGCATGCTGCCGATTTATGCCGGGCTACATTGAAGATGGGAGTGGGCAGGTCATCAGCCAAGCCCATCGCTTCTGCGCTTACTGCAGTGGCCTCTGGGAAGGTTGGTGATTACTTAGTCAGCAACGTGAGGGGTGTCACTCGTACTCTTCTGGCACCCTGCCACGCCAAGGCTGCTTCCCTTTCAGTCATCTCCAGGATGAAACGGTGCCCGCTAAAGCTCCGGAGACTGCAAGCCCGATGCCGCTGCTCGGAGAAGACAACATGGCTTCAACGCTAGTTTGAGCCGTGCTCACATAACTACTATATTCACATATAAGGTCCTGGATGCAAGAGTTCCCTGTCGCCCAAAGCTCCAGCTTTGAACCGAGGCTTGTTACAACGCCAATGCAGATGATGCAGGGAGGCCTTTAAGAGTCTGTTACTGTAGATAGCCGACGGAGAGAGAAGCACTTTTTTGCAGGTGGCGGTGGCCTGGACCCAATGCAGCAGTCCCTTCTGATGAATATGCAGCAAGCTGCACAGGCTGGATGCCAGTATATCATGTGAAGGTAAAGGACCTGTCGAATGTTGCGTCCTCTTCTATGGCTGAGAACATTTCAGTCAGACATCAGTTCGAGCTTGTTTCAGCCATTCTCAACGAGGCCGGCATGCCACAGGCCGCGATGGGAAACTTCAGGGTAGTCTCCTCAGTGGAGGGAGTAGGAACTTGAACACTTGCACAGCACCTTGTGTGATATGCACATGAGAACTTCAGGACTTTTTGCAGATGTTTGTCGTGCGAAGTGCAGTCGACCCCGGATCGAAGCTGCCAAGGCCGGCACAAGAATGCCACCTTCCAAGGACGTCACTCGGCAGAGAACTTCAACCAACTTCCCGGGATCTGCCCAAGAGACAGTCTCCTCATGAAAAGAGCTGCATCCAAGGACAGCCTGCTCGGAAGTCTTCGCTACTTTCGCATCTCGTCATGTCGATTGTTGGAGGTCTTTCCGTGCGAGGCACTGCAGGCCCCATGCAGCTTCCGTAGACAGGGTGGAGAGATGTCTAGAGTAGAGTGTAAAGCGAGAGACACGAGTGAAGATGGCGCAAACTCTCCAGACATGATGCACGTGCAAGCATTGGTGTGTGTTCAGTTCTGAAGCGCCGTCTGAACTTGGTCTGTCTACTGTCACAAAGTTGGCCTAGGTTTGTGCGTCTCGTGGATCAATGTGAGCTCGCTCAGGCTACGTCGAAGCAGACCAGATTGACGTCGAGCTAGCAAAGGTGCGATCACCGCATGCGGAGTGTGCAGTGGCACGACATAAAGCGCGCACGAATATGCGTAGTGACCGGTGAGGTATGGAGAAGACCTCTGGCAAACGACCCACAACTAATGGCAACTCTTGATTAATAA